GTCGTCTGAACAACCACGCGAGTTGTTCCAGCTGGCGGGCCCCAAGCCAGTTAATCCGTCCGCAATTCGATGCCGGCAGGGAAAGGGGTACGTCTGGGGTTGCGCTCGGTGACGGGAAGAAAGATCGATAGGTGATCAGTCTATCGATCGGCAGCCGCAAGTCAGATAACTTCAGAGGCACTCTGCAGCGTGCTCAAAGCTCTTCGATTTGGGCGGAAGTCGCGCGGAATTTTAAACGGCCAGCGAGCCAATTACTAGCTGCCACGTGTGAATAATTTAGCACTGGCCAATAGCGGGGTACAAATTTACATTCGAATAGCGGGAACTCTTTGCACCGTGCATTTCTGTGCTGCAAAGAAGAAATGCATCCTGCAAAGGAAACTGCAAATTGGCGGGAACTCTTTCCTATACGCGGGTTCTCAATTGCAGCAGAACACTCTGCCGTGCAAAAGAGCTCTCATGTGACCAGGAAATTCCACAGTGCCGAGGCACAAAAATCACTGGGTTGTGACACTATTGTTCATTTATTTTCGCTCTGGAATCTATATATGTGGTTTTAACATTAGGCTTTCTGTTACTGGAAAGTCCAGGCTGTATTGTTAGAAAACCTACTGTTCCTTCCTAAGATGGAACTGCTAGCAGGTTTCCTGCTGTTGCCAAAGGTATGAGAGGGAAAAATATGAACTATGTCTCTGATTCTGGTGAAGGGGAGATAATTACAGGGGAGCTGTAGTTAGGATTGAGAAGGCCTTCCAGTTTAAAGGTTTACTCTTCTAAATGCTCTAAAATCCACAACCCATGGCTGTGATCATCCTCCAACTGATCTCGTTTGCTCAGTATTTATTGCAGCTAGTACATGACTCTGTACTGACCTCTGGGGAACAATATTGGATTAATTATGAAAGGAAGACTTCATCTTGTTAAAATAATACATACTAAACACTCACGTGCCAAACAGATTGCAATGCACACATGCTGAAAGACTAAGCAAAAGGGATTCTGGCTCTCTCGTGACCTTGGTAACTGAAGGGGACTTGCTGTAATCACTGAATCTGAACTATATCCATGTACTGAAAGTTCAAACCCTCTTCTTGTCAGAAATCTGAGGAAGATATCTAGCTGCACTGCTGTCATCTGCCTCTGTTTCTGGTATTTAATTTTGGGAAATGTAATCTGAGTAAAACTGATAATTCAGAAGGCACTCACTGATTTTTAAGGGGACAGGCCAATGAGACAGAATGACTGGAAAGTGCAGTGTAGGAATGGGTAACAAAGGAATGGGGCCACAGATTCCCTTCTCCTGTGTGTGCCGTAATCTAGGGGTACCTTTTGTTATACCCAGGATGTCTCTGTGAGCTTTTATTTTATCCAGAGAAGCACAAGAGATGCCAAAGCAAGTTCCTCCAAACTATGCACCATTATTGGGATTGTTTGTTATCAATCAAGCAATGCTAACAAGAATACCTATATACTGCAGAACATTCTTTACCAGGCGGGGTCTCAGGGCCCTCAGAATCTGTCCTCAGGGTTTGAGGCAAGTTCCAGGCTCCCACGCCTCTGCCGTTGTGTATGGGAATTTTATATAGTTCAGTTTCAGATTTCTGTATTCCTGCCCATTCCTCTGAGATAAGGGTCTCCTGGAGTCTGGTCTGTGACCATCGTTCTTTCCTAGGCTCACCTTATTACAGGGGTGGGCAAAATGTGTCCCAGGGGCTGGATGCGGCCTGCCAAGCCATTCTATCCGGCCCATGGGGCCCCTAAAACATTTAGAAAATTAATATTAATCTGCCCTGAGCTGCCTGTCATGCAGCCCTTGATGGCTTGCTGAAACTCAGTAAGTGGCCCTCTGCCCAAAATAATTGCCCACCCCTGCCTTATTAGCACTGGATGTGACCACTGGCCTAGCATCTCAACTCCCTTGAAACAGTCCCTCACAATCCGCTTCTTTCACATGCTCATCATTGTGATTCAGACCCAACGGCTTCTGGGATCAAAGCATCTGCAGGGAGGAACTAGTGACACACCAGACCCAGCAGCAAAAAGCGGTGAAGGGCATCGAGGACTTCCCAGCATTTTCCCCTCTGCTGAGACCTGAGCCCTGTTTGTGGTTAGCTGGTTAGCTAACCAAGTTAGTTAGTTACCAAGTTAGCTGGTAAAGCTGCTTCTCCGGGCGGAGGGCCTGGGTCCCTCTCCCTGCCCTTGGTCCAGTTAGCTGTGGAGGGCTCTGACGTTAAGACATGTAAGCCTCTGCATACACACGTGCTAACTTTCTGAGTTAAACCCAGCACTGTACCTAGACTCCTGGCAGGCCTGAGTGAACTTTCAGTATTGGGCCCCGCTTTGCTGGACACAATGGTAATAATAGTTTAAAAATTGCCATTTTCAGGCCCCTTTTTGGTTCAGGCCCCAGGCAGCCACCTGATTCACCCATGCCTGTGTCAGGCCCTGGTTAAACCAGCTTAACTTCTTTAAGCTGATTTAACGGTCAGTGTGCACACATACGTGGAGCAGAGTTGACTGAAATGTGGCACAAGATAATACACCTTGGAGGTGTATTATTTTGTGTTGCATTAGTTTTGTTGACTTAGCTCACAAGATGGCTGCCACCATGTCAAGTTCTATGCTCTGAGGTGGCTTAAGCCAACTTAAAATTTAAGTCACCTTATTTTAAGTCAACTTAGTGTGCATGTAGCAACATGAGACTCAGGCGCTGCTGTGTGTCTGTGTGTGTTGGGGGAGGAGGGTAGACGCACATATTGGGTGGCGACTCATTGCACAGCTCGGGGTGCCTGGCCCACGGAGCGCACAGCCCTGCAGGACCCCGGACCGGCGGCAGCCGCACAAGAGGCGGCTGCTGCAGGGTCGTGGGGAGCGGAGCGGGGCGGGGAAGGCTGCGGACGTAGGAGAGCAGCTCTTCTCCCGCGCTCCTGGACCCCGCGCGTGAGCACGCGGCGGTGCTGAGGACCCCGGGTCACGCGCGAGGACGCTCACGCTCCGGGGCAGCGCATACGTCACTAGCCTCGCGTCCCATACGTCACTAGCCTCGCGTCCCACCCCCCTACAGCAGTGCGCGCAGAGGGCGGGGCCAATCCAGGAGGCTTCTGTGTCAGGAGGCCCCGGGCCTGTGAGCGCCGGCGGAGGGGGCGGGGCTATACGCGAGACGGCCTCTCAGTCAAGGGGCATCTAGCCCCACCGCCGGCACTTTCCATGGTGTTAAAGGGTCCGGCGCCACCACCAAAATGGCAGAGGTCCCCAGCTCATCCTTGTGCCACTCCCAAGATGGCGGCGCGACCTCTCTACCTCATGGCCGCCCCCAACATGGCGGCCTGGCGAGGACCTTCCCGCCTCCTTCTTCCCCCACTCCTTCTTTCCCCAAGCACCCGGTCGCGGCCCCTTCGCGAACGGGAAACTTGCGGGGGAGGCGCCCAGGGGCAGCGCGGGCTGCGCGCGGCGGAAGCGACGCAGGCGCTGGCGGGGCAGCTCGGCGGTGACGCTATCGGCGGGCGCCGGGCGGGGCGGGAGGCCCCGGGTGACACA